GACGAGGGGAAGGCTCCACCGGAGGTGAGGTAACCTTAGGAATAGCACCAAGATAACCCCCTATCAAATCTCTCTACAACCCTGTTATAACCCTCTGATTTTGGGTGATTTGAGTATAAAGATCATCAGCTGCTGGACATAGGGCACCAATTGGCCCGAACTAGGATAAGCCGTTGCGTCCTCTCTATGACTCTTGTGTTCTTGAGTCCACCCGAGCCACCGGAGGCACATACTGTGACAGACTCAAACAACAATGCTTGCCATGGTTCTGACCCTGCGATAGATACCAATTGAAAGGACCGAGGATGCCACCTAAAGGGGGGAGAATAGGCGTTTCTAGAAATAACACCTTCAAATGTGGAAATGATTATAAAAGTAATTTCCGATGACTCGGAAATTCCAACTCAGAGAAATAAACCCCTCATAAGTTGGCTACAGAGTATGTGAAATATACTAAGCAAGTCTAGAAGCTAAGATCCTGCAACACAAAGGTTAGTGCAATGAATAAATAAAACAGCACAGTCACCAATACCGGACATGTCCGATAATACCGGAAGTGTCGGTATACACGGCCTCAGTACGCCGACTCCAAGCGTGATGCCCTTGATTCCAATGTGTTGCTCCGAGTTGCAAGCACCTTCTAAGAGTTGTATTTCAAAATATACACCTACACACAAGCTAGCACAACCCACGTGGATCACAAATATCAAAAGGGAGAAAATTGAGACACGATATTTGTTTTACCGAAGTTCAGACTCCGTCGAGTCCTACTCTCCGTTGAGGGGGCTACGAGCAACCCAGCAAAGGTCAGCTCTAGAGGACACATGAAGGTCACTCTAGCCGGAGTCTTTTCCAACTCTTTTTACTCCTTCCACTAGTTTGATTCCTTCTCTTGCGGCGGTGGAATCAAACCTTACAAACTTTCTGAGGCACACCACAATCTCTCGGGTGCTCTCTTTGGCGATACCTAGCCGTCTATGACCGAAGAGTCCAAGAGTAACAAATGCAAATCAAAAGATTGACAAATATGCACAAGTGCTCAAGGGTGGCTTGCTCTCAATTTTGAATCTCACTCAACCCACAAGATGGATTTTGCAATTAGAATCAATCACTCACTAAGAGAGGGTTGGAGAGTGTTCTCAAGGCTCAAAAATATGTATGAATGTCAGTAGAATTAGCAGCCTCCAAAGGTGGAGGCTTGGGGGTATTTATAGACCCCACTCAAAAACTAGCCGTTTTCTAGCCGTTGAAAAACCGGACACGTCCGATATCGGTATTGCCTGCATAGCGCCAACGGTCACAAAGTTAGCGGTGCATGCAAGGCGTCGCAACTCTCGATGCTTGCCAGAACTTCCAACTCCCAGAACTCCCAACACTTGTCGGAACTCCCGATGGACCAAATTGAGAACACCAAAGAAGTTGTGGCTGGGTAAATACTGGACATGTCCGGTATGAATACCGGGCACGTTCGTCCGGTATTCTCAGTCACAGCATGATTTAGTTAGCTTGTGTCTCTCTTTCACTCAAAGCTCACATGGGTTGGCTTGAGCACTTATGAATAATTATCTATCAACATAATGCATCCCTCTTAATAGTACGGCATACCTATTTACTCAAGATAAAATGAAAAATGAAATTTGAAGCGCTTGAGTTGATTTCCTTTAAACCAAATGCCATAGCTCTCAATCTTCATCAAGTGAGGGTGTCACCATGTCAACTTTGATTTTCTTCTTGAGCATAGCCATTTTGAGCATGTGACTTGATTCCATTCAATGAATATGAGTTAAATTCAAATGTATCAAGTCACTTCCAACAATTTATCCAATATATTTGATCCTCCACTTCAATGTGACCATCATAGTTTGATTAGTACCTCAATTAAATGCAAGTACTTTCTTCTTCACCCTTGCTAGGTTCCTCAGTCGCCAAGCCATCGCTTGCCCTTCACCCTTGCTTAGTACCTTGAAGCCTTTCCTTGCTATCTTCACTATCTCAAGCCATCAAGTCACACTTTTGTGTTGAATCAACCATTAAGCTCATTTGTATAATTGTCTTTCAATGTAGCAAGCTTTAGAATCTGAGACCATTTCATATGTAATCCCTCATGTCTCATTAATTATTTTCTCAACGTACTTGCTTTACCTTACCTCATAGAAATCCCACAATGAGTAAGCCTTGCATGAATAACATTTGCATTGTTGTCTTGTACTTGAACTAGATTGTTTATACAACAATACATCATTTTGGCTTTCATCAAGTACCTGTGAGATAACCTATTTCCTGTCCAACACTTAGCAAATCGATTAGACCTTTAATCATATTGTCATTCAATCATCCAAAACCCACTAAAGGGCAAGATGCACTTTTAGCTCATTTTGTCAAATTTTCCTGCATTCAAATAAACTTCAAGTACAAGTGGAATTCCATTAGTGATAAACCAAATTTCTTCATTTTATGTTGGTTGTTCCTTGGAATGTTTGCATTGTTGATGGTTAAAATAGGTGTTTAGTGACTATCAACACAGGCGGCGTAGCAGAGGAGGCTACTCCACGTCGGCCTCATTTGTGGCGGGCCCCTCAACTCTGCGCGCTCGGTGCTGTCCAGATCCAAGTGTCTCGTCCTCGCGCACGCATGTCGGCTAGGTCATGTGGCGACCAGGTGGCTAGGGCCGTGGCCGGAGGCCCGCACGTGCCCGTGCCCCCACGCGCTCGTCGGCTAGGCCAGGTAGTGGCCAGGTGGCAGAGGCTATGACCGAAGCCATGCGTGCCTCTCCTAGATCCGAGTGTCTCGCCCCCGTGCACGCACGTCGGCTAGGTCAGGCGGTGGCCGAGTGGCCATGGCCACAGTCGGAGGCCCGCGCATGCCCGTGCCCCCACGCGCTTGCTAGCTAGGCTAGGCGTCGATCGGGTGGACGGGGCTACGGCCAAAGCCACACACGCTCATGCGTTCCTGGGCCTGTGCTCGTGAGTGCTGATCAGTCGACGGCCTAAGCGTCGATGACCAGTCCTCGGTAGGGACAAGGCAGATCCATAGAGGTGGTTCCGTAGGTAGCGGTGTCCTAGGGGCGGTGGCTACCTAGGAGTCCGGCGAAGCGGAAGCAGATCCTGTCGGCTTGCATCCGATCGGCTAGTTCCGACTAGACGACGACAGATGAAGGTGAGCTAACCGGCGACACATGGCGTCAGCGCACTCGAAGCGGATGAAGATGGCACCAGCGGAGGCTCGCAGCGATGGTGCACTAGGGGCGGCAGCAACTTGACGACTTCCACTGATCGATTTTGGTCGTTTTAGGAGAGGATGTCGGGAAGCAGGGATGTGCTGAGGTCGTGGTTTTTCTTTTCTTTTTTGTTGTGTGTTCTTCTGTTTGTTGAGGTGTGAGTCTAAGTGCTCTTGTATCAATGTTTTTGGCTGTGTATATCCTTCATGGATATAGAGGCCGGGTTAATGAAAATCCATTATCTAAAAAGTACTCCCTTAGCTTTAGTAGTATGTGCTGGCCTCAAGAATTGGGAATAAATAAGGTATGTATGTGCTGCACTAGTGGTATCTACAATTCTACCCTACACAATGCCTTCCTGGCGCCTAAAATATGCATGTGTCATCGCGCTAAGCATCTGCCATAAACGCCTAGGCATTGTGAGGGGGCGCCACGTTTTTGCCACACCACCTCAAAAACCATGATGCAGACAAACTTTTCCCAACAACCCTAAGTGACTGGACAATGTGATGTGGACTTTCTTTTGGGTTTATTGATTGGTAGAAACTAAGATGATATTAGGCTGATCTTTTGCTAAACCAGTGTGTGCAATATTGCCTTGTGCAGTGTGTGCAGCATTGCCTTGTGTATGTGCTGCTGACATGTAGGCATGATACACTATTGCCAGCTAAGTCATATATTTGCAAATTGGACATGTAATGAACCAATGGATATTGGATATTTGTTTTGCCCTATTTGTATCATGAATGATCAATATTTTCTTGGCCAATTAAGTCCCTGTAGTATGCATTACCTTGGTGCCAATGGCAGCCAAGGAATCATGATTACCCTGGCGGCAAGCTACCAAGGAAACACAAATTTTCTTGGGTCTCGAAACCCTCAAGAAAATTGCTATTACCTTGAGGGTGTGAGTTCTCAGATAAATTAAACTTATTTTTTAAAAAAAAATTATCGTTCATTTGTGTTACCTTGGCTGTATCAACCCTTAAGAAAAATATATATCCTTGGTGGCTCATACAAATACCTTGACGGTAATTCAGGAAAATATATATCCTTGGGGTTATCTGCCCTCAAAAAATATAGTTATCCTTCGGGTCATCTGCCCTCAAGAAAATGCATATCCTTGTTGGATCTTATAATTTTCTTTGTGGTCATCGACACTCAAGAAAACATATATCCTTGGGTGTTGTTATATTTCCTTGACGGTGTTAAAAATTTAACCTCGTATTTGTTTCCTTGGCGGCTAAACCCTCAAGAAAATCATTGGTGGCGGCCGGCCCTCAAGTTAATAGCTATTCCCTTACTCTCTACTCTTGGTGATCATTCCTTGAGGGTTGGTCATGAGAAGTTATTTCCTTAGCAGTTTTCTTCCCTCAAGGATATTCCATTTTGTGATAGTGAAGGGTTGATATATAGGCTAGTACTTTCTAACGATCAAACTTTTGTACCCATGATATATTATACTTCAAATTAGTTGTCTTGAATTCATGCAAAGTCAAATAACATCTTATATATTTTGGGATAGAGGGAGTAATTATTGATAGAAAATTAACTCACTGAAATGTTGAAGGGTGATGGTATCAAAATTCATCGCAAGATTAACAGTTATATTATTATAGGTAGGACACATGAGAGATCCTGACATGGTGAAGGCGTTCATTCTACATGTAGCTGACACTAGATTACTGCCGGTATAAACATCTGTAGGCTGCAAGTGGTCATTGTTTATTTTATTTTTTTGAAAGAAAAACATGAGGGGTGGGAAGGAGGTGCGGGCGTTGATTTAACTGGAGTAGAGGTGCGCTGGTAGCCTGTGCTCGGCATGCAGTACCAGCGGCTCAGCCATGAAGGTGCCGTTTCTGGACTCGCGGAGGTCAACGACGGCCATACTGGCAGGCTTGCTCCAGGTGAAACCCTGCAGGAGCCTGCCGAACAGCATCATGCTCATGGCAGTGCCAAGCGAAGCCGCAATGCAGCCACGGCGGCCGGTGCTGAAGGAGATGAAGCGCAGGTCATTCTCGGTGAGCGTGACTTGTGCCTTGGGATCGGAGAGGAGGACGTGGCGGTCGGGGTCGAAGCGGAGCGGGTCGTCCCAGATTCTAGGGTTGCGGCCGAGGCCGATACGACTTAGGATGACATGGCTGCCCCTGGGGATGTGGTAGCCGGCGATGGTGGTGTCGCCGAGAGCGATATGGGGTAGGTTGAATGCAGCGACGGGGTGCAGGCGGAATGCCTCGCGGATGCAGGCCTTGAGGTAGTTGAGCTGCGGGATGTCGGATTCCTGCATCAGCCGGTCCCTGCCGACGACGCGGTCCATCTCCTCCACAGCCTTCTGCAGCAGTTCCGGGCTGCTCACCGTCTCTGCCAGTGCCCACTCCACTGCGTTGGACGGGTTGTCCACGGCTGCGAACGTCATGTCCTGCAATAATCATCCATGCAACTTATTGGTAACCCATTATATATGCTACGTACGCATGGAACGGAAACACGAACACGTATGATGAAGACCTGCACTGCACCTGCGACTGAGCTTTGACCTCCTCGATGGTGAGCAGCGGTTTCGCATGGGTGTCCTTGAGCGTAATGAGAACATCGAGGAAATCCTCGGGCTCCTGCCTCTCGCCGCTCTTCCACTGCCTCCACCGCTCGTCGATGACCTCGTCGTGAAGCCCGCTCACCCTCTTGTTGGCCTCCTTGACCATCTTCTCGTGGCCATCGAGGTCGAGGCCCAGCAGCCAAGGTAGGTAGTCGGATACACAGAAGGCGTAGAGCAGTCCCAGGCATGTGAACACGGCGTCCATGTGCTCCACCTGTTACATAAGGTGCCAAGTTGTATTTATTTGAATTCATAATATAGGATTTATTTCTTTTGTTTTGACATTTATAGAGGAAAAACAAAAGATAGACGGGAGGTTCTCGGAAAAGAAAAGACAAAAAAAACTGTGAGAACTGATGGGGGGAAGCAAACTAAATGAAAGGGAGAATCAAAAATTGAAAGGGAGAAAAAAAAACGGATAGGGAAAACGAAAAACTAACCGGACCCAGCAAAGGAAAGCTAAAGAAATATGAACCTTGATAGGAGCCTCAATTAATTTTGGGCTTGGTTAAACTAAATAAATTTTCAGAGACCCGTATTAATATTAGTGCAATGAAAATTAACTTTGTATAGAAAATTGTAAGGAGATTGACTAAACATAAATATGTGGCTATTGTGGGACTTGTGACTCTAAAAAGGTATATGGTGGTGAACCATATGTCTCCGCGTGTGCTCATGTGAATGGACTCTGACACATAGGTCATGACATGAGTGGTGTAATGTACGTCAATAAGGTTTTTGCAACTCCAAACTAAGTGAGTGACGAAAGAAGAGTGATGCCGAGTAGTTAGGGGAAGACGGACCAAAAGAATGTTGGAGAAATTTTGGCTATATGCATGATCAAAAGAATGAGGGAGAAATTTTGGGTATATGCATGTGACGGGAGGGAAAGGCAGATAGAGTTAGAACGGGTTATAGCAGCAATCAGAGTCGCGTGCGTGAGATCAAGTAGTCCAGGTGAATGGACTCCCATGAATGGCTGTTTGCACGTCATACCCCTCCATTTTCAAATACCCATGACGTGCCTAATATATGTACGCGTGCAATGGCCATGCAAAGAGTCCACACACACTGCTTTGTTTGCTTCTGTGTAACGTGAGTAGAGACTACTAGATGGAGGGACAGAGATCAAGTTGAGTATGCCAACATCTAACAGCAGCGCACCTCTAGCGGTCCGGGGCCGCCGTCCGGCTGCGGCTCGCCAAAATAGCGTCTGTTGAAGACCAGGCGGCGGATGACGTTGCCACAGTAATGGCGCGCAACGTGCCTGACGTCGACGTCGCCGCCGGAGACGAGGTTGTAGACGTAGCCGGTGAGGTTGCCGGCCTCCTCGGCACGCTTGTCATGGAGCCACTTGTGGCGGGAGGGGCAGATGATTTCGGAGGTAAGAATGCGGCGCATCTTCCTCCACTGGTCGCCGTTGGGGGACAGCACGGTGTTCTGGTAACCGGCGCTGAAGGTCTTGGAGGCGAAGGTGAGTGGGCGAGAAGCAAAGTTAGCATCCTGTTTCTTCAGCACCTCGCGGGCGATCATGGGGCAGCTGATGGGGATGATGTGGACACCGCCCAGCTTGATGCAGGCGATGTCGGTGCCCATCTCCTCCATCATCAGGTGGATCCACCGGAACGCCGGTTTGTTGAACATCATCTCCGGAAGTTTGCCGACGACGGGCCACCGCACTGGACCCGGCGGTAGAGGCGGCGTGCAGTTGCTCTTCCACTGCGACCCGAGGATTTTGACAAGGTAAACGATCGTGACCACGAGCAGTTACACTTTGACGATAGCAGAGCAGGGTAATAATAAGGAGGCTCCAAGCAGAGCCGAGGCAGCAGCCACCGCCACCATTGGCATGTTTTGTTTTTAGTTAGCTGGCGCTGCTTGCAGGATGGGAGCGATCGAGCACAGATACATGAATTCGTTGTCAAGGAAAGATGCGCTAAGCTGTGCTGCTCGTTGAATGCGCCTGCCGTGGTGACTATTTATATGGTAGGCTGTTCAAATGCAATAAAGGCAGCCCCTGGTCCATGTGGCTTCACTGGTGCCGATCCATATATGGATCACTATCGGGTCTAAATTCGGCATCACGGTCGGAATAGGATCCAGAATAGGGTAGTTAGTAGTGATGAGTTCGCTTATCACTGGATGTTTATTCCTAGATCTGGTAGTGATAGGACGAGGAACACTACCGGGTCAAACCTTGAACGGACACTGAGAGTGTATGATACCCATTGCTAGGTCACCGGATCATTTTTTGTTTTTATTCTATTTTCGATGGCTGACATTTGACCGCCTCTGGAAAATAGCGATTAACGCAGGCGATAACTATAGGTGGACTGCATGCCCGCCTCCAGAATTAATTGTCGTCGTTTTTCCCGCCTAAAAATATCTTCTACCTATTCCCTCTATCCTCAACTAATTGTCGTCGTTGGTTTCCGTGCTGAAAGTTTAACTTTGATTTGTATAAAATACGTGCAACATTTATATCTCTAAATAAATTTATTAAAAAGACTAGATTCAATATCTATCTAATGATATTAATTATGTACCATTAATATATTTTTATATATATTTAGTCAAAGTTATTTTTCGAGAAGCAAAAATAGACAAATATTTAGGGATCGAGGAAGCAGCAGTGAAGGATGATCAATGCAGATTGCGGATGGAATCCCAAGGGTCATCAGTCGTGGCACATCCACGCATCGAAAGTACTCCTCCATCCCTAAATAACTGTCATCGTTGATGTTCGTGCCACAAGTTTGATTCGATTTATATAAAATGCATGTAACATTTGTATCTCCAAATAAATTTACTAAAAAACTAGATTCAAAGATCTTTCCAATTATACTAATTATGTACCATAAATATTAATATTTTTTAATATATATTTAGTTAAAATTGGTTCTTGAAAAACGAAAACGATAGATATTTTGGGACAGGGAGCAGATACTTATAGGCTAATTGGGCTGCATCTTAGTGAGTTTCAAGCACTTGTGCTGCTGCACCTTAGTCCGGAAGCAGTGGCAAGGCCAGTCGAGTGGCCAGACTATGGGCCAAGGCGGTAGGATGCAGGGGTCGGCCCTAGTCTGGCCCAAAAAGCACAGAAGTACCTCTGTAATAATCTTTTAGCCCAAGAGGCCAGCAAACGAGCATTCGCCGGTTGCGGAAGGTTCGAGTTCTGCTTCCGCCCTGTCGCGAGTCGCCCAGCCCGTGAGCTTGCCTTCTCGCGCCGGCTGCCACGCCTCCGCCAGACCGCCTCGCTGTGCCACTACCTCCGGCTACTGCCCACTCGGCCCCGCTCTCTGGCTGCCTTCGGCCACCGCCCCTACCCTAGTCAGCGGCGCACCTGCGCGGCTTCCGCATGCGCGCCTGGGTCGTCTCCCGGCAGCGGCCGCCCCGCTCGGTTGCCTGGACGACTCCGGACGCAGGAGCTGACGAGCAGAGCCCCGGCAACTACGACTACGAGGCTGCGACTGCGAGCCAGTGCCCCCTACTGTGAGCAGCCCCTTTGTAAATGACTCTAGTTCTCTGCTCAGTCTGAATCCAAGTTTCGAATTTCAACCATTTTCAATCTATGTTTCATTGTAAACATTAATATTTTTATCTATATATTGAATCAAAATTTAAGCACTTTAAACGAGAATACGTCTAGAATTGCATTCTTTTAAGAATAGAGGCAGTAGTTGAAGAATTTCTCGATCTGCGAACTTTTTTTTTTGTGATTATCGGCTTTTTAATACTAGAATTTAGCCTCTAATCTACCAAATCCTGAGTCCGCCACTAGTAGGATAGGAGGTGAGGTTCACAAAGCAGCAATAACCGCGAAGACGGCCTAGGTCTACAAAGTTTATCATTGGACTTAGTTCTATTCTCTATGTATGTGAAGCCTAAATTAGTCCCTTTACGCATATTTTGATTGTCCAATGTTTGACATGTATTCTAAATTGCACATAGCCCGATATGCCTTGCAAAATTAATATCGAAATATGACATAAAGATTAATTGTTACGCAACCATCCTATTCCGCTGACAAAACCTTAGTATTATTCGGGTTTAATATTGCAAGATGAAAGGATCAAGATGTCCAAGAGGACGGTGAATTAAGCTAATTCTAAATTTCTTTGCAACAATTAAACTCTACGGTTAGCCCAATTAACCCCTTGTGCCTAAAAAGTGTTTCTATTAATCTAACGCACAAAAATTTAGCACCCTAAGTTTCAATCCTACTCTAGCATGGCAATTCTAGGTATGTAAATGACAAGAATTGAATTGTTCAAAGTAAATGCTCAAAGTAAAGAGAGGAGGAGAAACGCGGCGATATTTTGCCGAGTTATCGGAGAGTCGCCACTCTCCACTAGTCCTCGTTGGAGCACCCGCGTAAGGGTGTAGCTCCCCCTTGATCCGCGCAAGGATCAAGTGCTCTCTACGGGTTGATTCTTCGACACTCCGTAACGGTGAATCATCCACAACCGCTCACAACTTGAGTTGTGTCATCCACAAGCTCTCCGGATGATCACCAAGCTCTCAATCACCACCAAGCCGTCTAGGTGATGGCGATCACCAAGAATAACAAGCATGGACTCTCACTTGACCACGACAAGCCTAATGAGAAGGGTGGATGCACACTTTGCTACTCTTAATCTCACTAATGAGGGCTCTCTTTGGGATTCTCAAATCTCAATCACCTCACTAGGACCTTGCTCTTCTTAGCACTCCCAAAGGTGTTTCTCAACTGTTGGAATGAGCAAAAGTATCTCCTCACACGAATGGAGGAAGTATTTATAACATGGGTTGAAAAACGAACCGTTATGTGCCTCTGCGGGGTGACCGGACGTTCCGGTCAGTTCACCCCGAACTCTAGTGTTTAAAGTGTGACTGGACGCTGGCCAGCGTCCGGTTAACACTGACCGGACGCGTCCGGTCGATATTTTCCCTCTCTGGAACCTTACTGGAAACGACCGGACGCTGGCTCTCAGCGTCCGGTCACTTGACCTCTCAGCGTCCGATCGCGCCAGACGAAAACACCTTAGTCAAATGAACTGACCGGACTCTGAGCCAGCGTCCGGTCACACCGGAGCTAGCGTCTGATCAGTATTTGACCCTCCATTCACTTCCAACTCTCGATCATGTGTGAATGAAGTTTTTTCCATTGGATCTAAGGGCTATGTAGGAGCTACCTAGCATTAGTTTTAGCAAGTGTGCACCACACCTAACCCACTAGACTCACCTAGGTCAAGCTACTCGTCCGTACACCCCTTAATAGTACAGCCAAAGGAAAAATAAAGTTGTAAACCACTCTAAGTGTCACTCCAACTCCAATCGACACTTAGAACCAGTCCATCCTTAACCTTGTCGTCCATCCTTTGAAAACCGAAACGATTTCCATCGTAGGGGCATGACTATCGTGATAGCCCAATCGATCTCCATTACCGTGACCTAACTTAATTGCCTCTGCAAAATGCACGTTAGTCACAGTAATCACGTATTGTCGTTAATCACCGAAACCCAACTAGGGGCCTAGATGCTTTCAATCTCCCCCTTTTTGGTGATTGATGACAATACCACCTCGAGTATGTGAAAGAGATGAGGTTTTTAACATGATTGGATCATATAAGCTTTTGTCAATAAGAACAAAAGAGTTAGGCAAGCTTATATGACCCAAGCCAACATAATGTACTCCAAAGATATGAAATAAGCATGAGTACAAGTAATAAAGCTCATTTGCATCAGAGTAAAAACACGAAAGCAAATCAAATGAGCATAACACAAGTGATATGACATATAAATAATTCAAAGTAGAGAGCACACATGTCAAATATCACGATCACGTAGGTATCACTATCACATATAAATAGTTTAATGCATGAAAGTAAACACACGATGTTTGCATAATAGTATATCACACATAAAAATCCAAATATAATAGATAAGCTAATAGACAAACTCCCCCTAAATATGTCGCTCCCCCTAAGACTAACATACTCGATCCCTCTCCCCTTTGGCATCAAACACCAAAACCTGAGGGTCGGTCGGTGGGGCTGCAGCAGACGAGTCGGGCGATGAGGTGCGAGGAGCAAGCTGGAACTATGTGCCATCATCATCTGATCCTGAGCTCTGAGCTGTATAACCCTCTGTAGCTGGAAGCGATGCTGAAGCGGTCTGGGTCAGATCTATAACTGGCGTGGCCTGCTCTGATGATGCCACTGACAAAGGGAGAGTCTATGTAGTCTCGATAATAGGTGCAACTGTGTAAGGACCTAGGACATGTAGCTCTGGCGGTGTCGGCTGCCTTGTCAACTCACTGAATGAAGCATCAAGGCTCCTAGAAACTAGAGTGAGTACTGACGAACTCTGAGGTAGAGTAAAGCCCGTATGGAGAGGAGTGAACTGCGGGGCTGGTACTGGCGAAGCAAACCACTAGGCTACCTGCTCTGTAGGTGATGGAAACTGTGGCACTGGCAGTCCCTGACTCTGAAGCCCACTAGGCTGTACAGATGGAGTTATAGAAGTGGTGGCAGGCTGACCAAGCTGGGGCGAAGGCTATGGCGGTGGAGCCCCAATAGCTGTCACAACATGTTGCATAAACCCAAGTAGCTGCTGCTACATGAGAAGCTGCTGCTGGTGCATGGCCTGCTGCTGCTGCTGCTGCA